TTTTTTAGAAGGAGAGAGAGGTGTGATGTTGGTTCAGTTGCACTGAATATATTCCTTTTTTTACATTTGAATAGCGACAAGTAAAGAAAATGACAGTCTGTGTAAAAAGTAACGGGAATTAATTGGAAAAAAAATACTATTAACTTTTGTGCACATTTTTAGACAAAGTATGCCACGCGACTCGGAATGCAAGCGCAATTGGAGTATAAGTCAAGTATAGCTTATTTTTGGGAAATTTTTTTGGAATAAATTAATATACAATAACAGTGGTATGTTGGATTTGCTGCACTAGCCGTTGCTTTTTATTATTTCTCCAATATCTTGCGATAAGAAATTCATATTACGTCAAATAAAATTAAAACGAAATCACACGCCAGTTCAATATTTCTTCGTAGTGTGACCGTAAGCGTTGAATTGTATTAAAACAAAGTCTATTACAAGGTGTTAACATCTGACATTAAAATAAGAAGAGAAAAAAACAAAACAAAATCCTAATTAATGTCTGTTTATATAAAACCATCTTTCAAAAACCTGCTAACAGCTGACGGAAATTATTCCAAAGAGAAAACTGAGAATATTGAAAATACAAAATAATAAAAAAAAGGAAACTTTTAACAATTTCAAAATCAATTGGTCAATTTACTGCAAACAACTGGCAGCATTAGCATCACCGTCAGCATCAGCGTCAGCAACAATTTTTAACAACCACTTACGGTATTAAGTATTTATCGGTTAAGTAAGCATGCATTTGTATCGCATGTATGCGTGAATGTAAAAAAGAAAAGTATACACCCACTGCTTAGAGATATCGGATGCGTGTCTAACTTGTTAATGATAAGTCTCAGATACTTGTACAATACATAATTATCCATTGATAACAGTTCGCAAATGATTCTTTGTTCCTTTTGTGTCTTTTCCTTTTCTTTTCTTTTTTTTTTTTTTTTTTTTTTTTAAAAGGTGAGAGAGCAACACCAAAATTTAGTTTTCATAGATTTTCGGAATTATATTCTTGTGTTCATGTATCAAGCGTGCAGTCATAGGTGTTAAGACCATCTCATAATTTATTAAAATAATGTTTGTTTTTTTTTGACGAATCAAATGTATGTGAAAATGGACTGTTAGCCTTTGTTCATAATTCTTCTTTTTTTTAAATGTATTTACCGAATTGGCAAGAAAATAATTTCGTAGTTAAAAAAATGTATAACCTTTTTATGCCTTTCCTTGGGCTAATCATATTAATAAAATTGCGGTTAGCTATCGGAAATTGTCTTTGGCATTTTTTCTAATTATTCTCTACAATTAGTGACTTATTGGGTTGTGTGTACAAAATTCTACTCTTACTCTATACTTGGCCGTTTGTATCTATAATAAAGAGACTGGATATCAGCGCATTCGCGACCACTGATGTCAATTCATGTCATTAGTAGTTCTACTTGGCGACTTCTTGTTCGTTCATTTCATTTCTTACCTTCACCGACAGCGCCAGTCCGTGGCGGCGGAGGTCGCGGATGCGGGGAAAAAGAGAGGGACGCTTGGTAAAGGTCTTAAAGATACGTTCATTAGAAGAGATCTATTTGTAATTCTATTCCTGGTTGCTGCTACCATAAAATCGCGTTTAGAAATTTCTGTTTCGGAAGGCGGCAACACAAAGCGATATGATGGTTTTTATAAATAGAGGTATACGAGGTATTGTCGTGAAACGGTGCGCATATTATATGAAACGATTCCTTTGTTACGATTTTACATCCAGGTGTCCAATTATGAAAACCTTTCTAAGTTGAAGTGTCTATGTGTCTCTTGTGTGCCAGGAATACCAGATACCTGGTGAGATATTTCCCAATCGATTTTCCACTTTACTATCTGGTAAAGAGTGCATTTGGACATATATAGGATTGCAAGATTGCCGCAATAACGCTACAAGTGTGCGCCAACTAATTTCAGAATTGGGTTACTTTCGCCGATATTGAGCATCACAAAGGGAAACAATTTGCCTGTCGCGCGTGTGTTTAACTAAAAAACAGTAAGTTGTGATTATGTCGAAGGCTTTCTCTTTCAATTTCATTGAGGCTGCGCACCTGTGCGAGTCGTTAGCTCTTAATTATACTTTTTTTTCCTGCTTATTTACTTAAAAGGTAGGCATGAAAATATTTCCGCCTTGCTACTAATCAGTGCTATGACTGCTTCTTCTTTGATACATTGCGTAGTGAGGTTCGGTTTCAAGCAATCCTACGAATTCCTTTGGCGTTTAGGTGGATTACCGAGTACATTCTGCTTGCTTCTGCTTGCAAAGATAAGAATTTTCTCACTTATCAATGAAGCTTTAACTAGACTTTAATACTGAATTACCTGCTTTACTTTCCATGACCGACTTCCCTTATTTCCTCCAACAGTTTCTTTTAGCAGCCACACCTCGCAATGCTGCTTGAACTTATAATGGCCGAACTTTCAGTATTGGTGTTCAATTATGCTCCCACTTACTCGCACTATTGCATACCATATAAGTAGATAAGTGTTTAACTTTGCGCTCCAAACTTTTCCACGCGAATGTCCTGTGTTTGCATTACATATCAGCGCCACTTGTGGCAAGTATTAAGAGTTGTTTGCCAATTAAGCTGCATCTCTGCTCACATTTAGCTACGATGGCTGCGCTATTTCACATTTTTACGTTGTTTCTCTTTTCGTTTTAGCAGAAGGCAGTTGAGATGTATTTTCAGCTAGGGCTTAATATTGGCATTCACTTACCTCTCAATTCAGCTGTATTTCTTTCTATTTCCAGCGAACAGTTTTCTGCGGAACATTTGTTCCAATCCAACCTATACTTTCAAAGGTCATGTCCTGTAATATTGTCCGGCCACATTTTCTTATTGATCTTTAATTATTTAGCAAACCTTGTTTTTTATATTCAGTTAAGCGTTCAGTTTATTTCAGTGGCTGTGTTCCTCCAGCTTCTATTACTAACTTCCAATTTAGCTCAACTTCGTCTTATCTTCAATTAGATGAGTAAATGACTTTTTCACACACTTGTTCCTTCAATTTCGGCGTTATATAGTTTGTTTGTGTTGTTTCCAGTTTTGTTTGTTTATGTTGTTTCCTCTCAATTCGTTTTAGTACTTCATCAGCGTTGCGAGATATTCTTAAGTATGCATGAAAGAGGTTAATGTCAATATAATTGCAATTACATGAAATTAATGCAAATCATTTAAACCTTATCTTTCATTATCGTTTTAAAAGTTTCCGAATTAGTAGAAATTTATTGCCGCAAATCGTCCGAATGACAATGAACTTCTTTTGCCTTCGGATACGTTAATGACATGTAGTTCAAATCACTCAAATGATACGAATGAATAAAATACTCGCCTGAACGTAAACGTAGACGTTCATAAAAAACTGAACATATATAGCTGAAAACTCTTGCAATCAAACTGTCAAATTAACATTAAATAACAACACTAAACTAATGTTTATTAAACTATATGTAAAGTGACATTTAGCCTGAACAAAATAAAAGAAATAAATAAATAAATAAATTATTCATATATATATATATGCAGACATTAATCTCAACGAACTGTGAGACATAGCCACAGATGTAATGGAAATAAGTACTGTGTAGCTGACATATTAACGTACATTGGTTGTCGTAGCAATCTAATGTGAGTGAGACACGGAGCCATATATATTTGTGGTAAGTTAATTGATGTGAAAGAGCGAGAAAGAAAGAAGAAACCGCAAATTCTTGGGTATGTAAATTTAATGCTGATTATGTACGAATAAAATGCAAGACAGCATTAGTAGCAGATTAATGACAAACAGCAAGACAGTTTGACCGACATGATTACATTAGATATGTTATGCTTATCCGTGCACACATGCAAAATTATACAAACGTACAGATATGGTTATGTACTCAACAACTGTTCCCATTCTACTGCACTTTGATATCACATAGGATGTTTTTATGATACGGTTGAAAAAAATTTAAAAAAAAATTGCGACAACAAATTAAATTTTACAGTTAAACATCAGAAATTACTAACGAATATTCGTTCAATTATTGACTATTTTCATATACGAACGAATTGATTCCTCATCTTTTTGTTCTTGTATCCGCGGTCCACACATTTTATCAAAATGTTTAAAATAAAACCTCAACACTCCCATAAAGTGTATATGCAATGTTCAATCGAGTCTGTCCGGCGGTCCGCCTGTGTCTCTTTCTATGTTAAACATTCTCGCGGTTGAGAAAAGCCTTTAAACTTGGCAAAAGTAGTGGAAGGCCTTCCACGCAGATTAGCATTGAAGACTGGACAAATTGGGGCGAGTCTAAGAGCGTGACTGCACTATAGTAGACTGTTTTCAAAAGCGTATTGCCTAAAAACTGCGCCATAAAAAATGTACGCATATTCTGATTTCTTTTATGACCAATCACTCGTTGAATATTCTCAATATGCTTATGCTGAGTAATGCTGAGGATGAAAGGCAAAAGGGAACAGGGAGAGAGATAGGATGTGGCCGCAGCCTGGCGAGTTTGACGCCTTTACCGACTAAGCCAGTCACTAAAGCCGCAAGCAAGTATGCTCAAAGCTTACTGGGATTTGAATCCACGAACACCCACTTAGTGATCATGATTCTTATCTATAGCAACTGCCATAAAAAAAGCAATGGAAGAAATCGGCCATGACTATTCGATATTCTAGGGACGCGAACAATTTTATTCTTTTTAAAAGGTTTTTATTTAAACGAAGGTGATTGGTATGGAAGGTTCGGCCACACCTGAATATAATATTTTTTTTGTTACTTCTTTGTTTTTTACTCTGTCACGCTTCAGTTTCTCCCATGGTTTTCCTTTTCACATTTTCACAATTATGGGAATTAAAACTGTATTGTACGGTACCCCTGACATCGTTTTAATTCAACGTGCGATTAATATATGAAATATCACTTATAACCTATATATTATATAATCTTGAGTACGCGATAGCTTAGGAAGCGAATGTATAAAAGCAGCAATAATTTTTTATTTAATTAAAAGCATACCATTGAGTCGGTCGGAATCAGATTTGAGAATCCAGTACATTTACAATCAAAAACTGCTAGATGCTCGAGGTCAATACACGACTCTTCTCAAATTAGTAAATTATTAGCCAAATTTTTACTTATTGCTTTCAATTGCCGCGATCTTGCCAATGTTGCATGACGGACAGATGGATCGGCCAAGCAAATGCTGCTTACGGACGTATATTCCCGCATGGTAAATCTACATCAACTGATGTCTGAGTTACAAACGGAACAACAAAATTAATATATTCTCATGTTTCGATGACAGATGGCAAGGCAGGCCTAATCAATTGTTTGGAGCGAAATATTTGCCGCTTGAATGGAAAAATAATATTTCGTTTATTTTCATTTTGTAAGAAGTTGAAACGGAGAAATTAGATTAGTTTGTAGTTTGTCTGCTTGAATTCGCAGTAGAATGAAATTATTAAGTTAATACGCAAAGTAATCTGACCAGAAGGTTACCAAACAAAAATTTAGAAAGGCAAACTATTAAATTAATTTTTTTATCTTAGTTTCCGCATAAATTCTTTACTCATGGAAATAGATAGAGTCTTCAATTTGTGCATATATGTACGTACAAATCAAGTAAAACAAACGAAAGACAGGCTTTCATTAACGCAGTTATAGTATGAAAAAAAAAAAATTTAATATTTTCATCGAAAAAGTACTCACTCAAAATATGCTTGATTGAAGAGCTTTTTTTTCCGTAGTAATTATGAAGCAGGAAAAATTGACTGAATGCTTTGAATAGATTTTTCTCAAAGAATTCAATAAAATAAGATTTCATTAATGTCATTATTTGCCACTTACTATATACGGCTATAGAATGATAAATTGATAGGGATGTTAAATTACTTATTATGTTGTAAACCAAGTTCAATGCATACGGAGGCCAATAAAATATGTACCTAGACATGTTTATACATACATCCCGGCACTTAGAGTTGATCGACTATGCGTTCTATGGAATAGCTTTTCTTTTGGTAAACACAATCCGATCATAAGGACAGAAGAGCGAGAATAATTCACAGAAATTTTGACAGATACGCCAAAACGGATTAAATAACACATAATCAGGTCTACAATGACGTAATAAGGATTGGCTGGTAATTACGCGCTGAAAGCGGCATATAATGACTGTTGACATCTTTGAACAAAATTGGTGAGTCTATAGAACCTCTCTAAAAGCTATGTACGAATGTAATTGCTAACAGAAACTTTCTGATTTTTAGAGTCCTCAAGTTGAAGAGAGAGCGAGAAGCGAGTGGATCCCAGCCAAATCTCTGTTGTTTACAAACAATGAAAATTGCATATGTACAGACTCTACAGATTCCATATGTACCTTGTAATAAGACGTCAACACAGTCACATTCCAGTTTAGGACTAACCAGACTATTCCAAAGTTGTTTGCAAATCTATGGACCATCACGTTTCTTTCATGTTCCGCGGAAATCCCGAAATTGTGAAGAGATCCCTATCAAATTATTACCATTATCAAATTATATAAACACAAATTTGATAGTCCAAAGGCATTTCCTTCGAATTATTGTCAAAAAATTAAATATACGTTTTTTAATTGTAAGACAGTCTTCTTCTTCAATAATTTAGCAAATCAACAACAAATGACTCATCGCATTGCGTAAAAAAATTCTGTGACAAAGGAAATGCTCTTCTTCTTCTTCTATTCAATGTATTGTGTGTAAAAGCTTCAATGTGAAGACGAAGGAAATCCGTTTTCCCCGAAATGCATGAAAACCCTGTCTGGAAAAGGCCAAAAAGTCCCAAAAATATCAGTTCTAGTACAATTGCTTGAACGAGGAAGCAGCATAACACATCGGTCAATAATTTCTGGGACTATTTTATATTTAGAATGCACCGAACTGCAAGCGACGCATGTCAAAATGTTAAGTCATATCGATCATTTGTTTAACCACCACATACTGATAGGTCACCAATTAATTTTGTGATCTTTTATTGAGCAGTTCACAACAAATTGTCTTACTATAGAGTAACAGAGTATCTCAGAGCGTAGCGCACTACACAACAGATTCAAAGGAAAATTTTTAAAAAAATTATACAAAAAAACCGGAAGAGAAGATGTTTGCAATATTTTTATACGATTTTGTGAATGATAAACAAGAGCAGGTGTATATAAGAACTTTGTTAAGCTACAGCGTAAAAGAAGAAGAAGAAAACGCTGTGAAGGAACACACCTATCAAATTTGGTACGTACACGGTAATTCGCTGTTAGGGACACTAGATGTTTAGGGAATATTTCATAATTCCAGACACAGCATTGTGCCCCGAACCGCGATTGGTAGGGGAATTCGCTAGAATCATTAAGCATTGAAAGGCTAGAGGCTTGAGACAGTAGAATAGGCTGTGGTAAGTAGTATTAAGAATTGTATTAATGACTGGACGAATTGCAGTCCATAATAATTGGAAGTGTCACTCTTCAGGTTGTATGGACGTCGATGATGTCGTTCGATAGAAAACGTCAAAAAAATGTTGAAAATTAAGCCCGACAATCGAAAAATGAAGTGACTAGCTAACATCCAACAGATATCAGAAATATTGGACATGACAAAACTGTTTTCCAAATTAGTTCGGCAAAAATCACTCAGTCCCAGGTCGATGGCCACAATGGCAAAATTACATGAATTTAAATTCAGATTGCAGCTCCTATCCTAAATCTGCCTACTATTTGCTTTTAAATCTCAAAAGTATCTTTCAGGGCCAGAGAAAGCTAGCCATCACGAACATTAAACCGCATTTCGACTGTCTTATTAACTCGTGTTAACCCACCGCGAAGTACACTGCATCAGTTCGCTTAGTACAGTAGTTTATATAACTCCTTATCAATATAAGATGCTAAGGTGCATTCGCCTTTGGGTAAAACTACTTCAGTATACCAAACTTCATCGAAGTATCTCAAAAATTGCGGTCTGTAAGTTGAAGAAAAGAAAACAAGATAGACAAGCGTGCAGACAAGCTTACCTTCAGATCAGATAATAAAAGGTGGGTTCATCTGAAGTCCTTCTGGCTCGTTGTATACATCCGCAAAAACTTAATAAACCTAATGACTAATGAGAATCAATCATTTTTCTATACTTCCTTCGCGATCTTTTTTGGTTAACCGTTCCAGTTCATAGTTAACTGCTGAAAATCTAATATTTTTCGTTTACTTTCTAATCAAATGTCAAAAACTTTAACCATTTCTCTCCAATTTGGTTAAATTTACAACAATTAATCCCACTGTAAAATTGTGGTATTATATATATATATATATATATTCTGTATGCCTTTGTAATGAAAAACCGCAACTGAAATGTATTAGACAAGAACACAAGCATATAACGCATTACCGCATTGAATCCGTTTTGCTTGAAATTGTTACAATTATTTTATGATTCCTATCATTCAATTCTATTCAATTGAAATCAAATTGCGTGCGTTGTTGTTGTACAATTGAAATTTCTCATAAGCAATTACTTTTCAATTTATTTCTCTGTTCTCTTAATTTTAAAATCCGTAAAATTAAAATACCGTGAAAATCGCTAAAAACATAAATTTCCTTTTTACGAGACAATCTGTTCTTTTCGTTTTTTTTTTTTTTCTTTTTCTACACAATAATTTCTCGTGTAATACATTAACAATTGTTTACTGTTTGCTGGCAGAAGGGAAAAACCATTTACCATTTACCCATCGGTAGGCACAACCCAAACATATTTAATAATTATTATCCACGCCAATGACAATTTGTATGCATGCGAAAGCTATTACATTATACTGCTGCTGCTGTTGCCGCGTACTGATGCCTGAGTTCGATGCGTGTGTATAGGATACAATCATAACATTTCACGCGACATGAATTTTATATGTAAACAACAACAAAAACAACAACGAAAACGACAACGAAAACGACAACAAGAACTATCACAATAATGCTGACACTGTGTATTGTTCATAAAGACCGTATAGCTATTTAACCCCCAGTCCATGAAAATTGTACGTATACAAGCGAGCTATTTATTCTGTAAGATTCTGTTTATGTGTGGTTGTGTGTGCCTGTATGTCTATAAACCACTCCCCGTAGTTCTTTGACATTTCAAGAAATCATTATAATGATGCGAACAAATGAATTTACAATGTTTGTATGTTTGGCACAACGGACAATCTCAGTTGTAGCTACTGTGACACGCTCTAATCAAATTAGCAACGGTAACATTAAAAACACATAGCTTACATGCAGATTCAGATTCCTTAGTTCGTTCATTCATTCATTCATGCATTCTTTTCTACGTATGTGGCTGGTTCTCTTTACATTTACAATACCTTCGTCATAACAAATGACAATCCGACTTTTTTCGTTTTCTTTTTCTTTTTGCCAAATAGACAGAAACGAAAAATCGTGACATTGTTGATATTTGTTTGCATGTGCGTGTAGACAAAACATAAACCGTAGAAAAAGGACAAATCATGGTAAACAATCAAAATAAACAGAATAATATGCGAAAGAGATAAAAATCGCGCGCACACATACACATATATACATTTGCAACATCACATTAAAGTATTTGAATGAATGAATGAATGAATGGTTGTTTGTAGTATGCCTGTCTGTCTGTCTGTCTGTCTGTCTGTGTGGCTGTAATGCAGTCAAAACAAGGCAGCAACCAACCAACATCGATTTCGCATGGTCGGGCTGGCAACAGCAATAGCATGCAAAAGAAGAAATAATGTTAAAAAATAAAGACTAAGGGGCCGCTCTCCCCAAAAACACATTGAAAAGGCGACGAAGTTATTTTCACATCATTTTGTATAAACGGTTGACAATGCTAATAAAATAATGCTTGTTATTGTTGCTGTTTATGTGCTTGCATGTTTTATTGCAAATTTACGTTTTATACACTTAACGCATATAAATGTATTTGTGTGTAAACAGATTTTATCCAAATTAAAACAATTTAAATTCAATCTATAAACCACTGCTTGATTACAGTAATTTGTTGTTTATTGTAAGGATACTTAATGAAAGTAAAAATCAGATAAATGCCTATAAATACAGATACACATTAACTTTTCAATTCGTTTGTGAAATTTATTGTTTAAGTATTGATAGAAGTAAAGTCTTGCGTGCTTAGGATGAACACCCGCCTAGTGATTAAATTAATGAGCGATAGTTTCCTCAAAACTTATACACCATGAATTTTGTTTTTTTGTTCTTTGCCATTTTTTAATGTACCTTCATTGGCGGCACAATAACCGATTTTGTTAAGTCAAGCGCTCTCCCGAATTGGAGTTTCGGCAGGAAAACTAATTAAAAATAAATAAAAGGTTGCTTTCATCTTCGGGCGTATCTTTGACCCCTGCAGCAAGAGTAAAAAAAGATTTTATTCAATGTGTGGGAGTGTCAGTTGGTTGATCCGCACCATTTGTAGATCAGTATTTTAGACGTGTTTTTTTTTTTTTTTTTTTTTTATCATCGAACTCATTTAAGGCCAACCTTTGATAAACATATACATAAACTGTGGCCTAAAACTTTCCGAAGGAGAAGTTCCACTATTACTCAACAGGGAAACCCTTTAAAATTTTATTGCGTATGCAATATATTTCATAGGACAGTTTTATCTTGTCCGTTGAGGAAAGCACAACCAACTTTAGCATATAAGTAAGCTAAAAAAAAGTTAATTAATGAAATAACTTCATAAAGGTTCAATTAAGGACTTTACGTTCTCATGGAATCTTTTTACACAGGACAGCGAATCTTCAATTGTTAATTTGTTGAATTGCACACGAAGAAGGAGACATTTTATAGGGTGGCTGATGAAAATTTTCCTTGTCGAACTTTATGCATGGGCCATGTACTAAGCCTTTAGGGAAGATGGACGTATAGACCAACAATCAAAAATTGTTTAAGAATAAGTGTTCTGTGGATTACTTAGGAAATGTTAAAGTAAGATCACTTTCATACTTTGAAGGTGGTTGTGCAAGCGAGAAACACATTTTGCTGTGCATCTATAAATAGATTAAAAAATATGTGTAGTGGACTCTAATATCAAAAACCAAATTGAGCTATGACATGGGCGGGTAGATAAGGCCCGCCATTCCATGTCTCTCTCTTGATACCCCTGCCATTTTAAATCTCAAAGATGATAAATAAGTATATAAGAGATTTTAAGAAATTGCAATCATTTTAATTACAGTGTTAAAATCGCTGGAAAAGGCTTGTTCACTTTAAGGAAGATTGAATATATAACCTCTTGAAATATTTCATTGGTCTGATAAATAGTTTTTATCCAGAAACTAATTCCTAATTAATGCTATTAAAAGTTAATTAGGCAGACGTTAAGTGTAAGTAGATAAGCGTATCTAAGCCAAATGATTTTTTCTAGAGACCAAATTTTCCAAATTCCAGCAGTTTTTTTATAAGATAACAATGACATTATTGATGAAAATGTTTAGTTCCAAGTATAGAAACGTTCTATATA